GATGTTGCGATCTACTTTGTTCCCTGACATGCCCCGCCCTTCCTCTCCCCTAAAATCAAGTGCCTATGAGCCTGAGGGGCGCGCTTCACACATTCCCCAGGCGTCCCCACAAGGAATCCCTACCCGCGGAATTAATCACAGCATCACAGGAAGTGATTGACCAGACCGAAATAAAGTAGACAGACACAAGTGCTTGCGTACGTGCTAGCAGCCGCGAGAGGCAAGTGTTGCGCGCAGATTGGGGTCACTACATATGTACCTTTCCTGAAATTTATCGCCACGCCACATAGTTTAAGTGGGCGGAGCCTTCCCATTCCCGTTTCCTGTTTAGGCGACCGTACAGGTCGTTCTTATCCACAATGTAAACATAATGCACCGTGATTATACCGGCCATACACGACGTAAAAGGATGTAACTAGTAGAGCCGCCCCTTAATAATATCCTTTCATCATAACGTGTATATTTTCAAACGGCATATGCTACGAAAAGCCTGTGAGCTTAACTATTGAACCTTGTCCGCCATCATTCATCTTATTACTTGTTTACCCTATCAATCAGAGAAAATCTTCATTAGACTGCCGTATAAAGTTATCAAATTTCCTTCCATAGCTCTATGCTTATGTTTCCACGACACAAATAAGTGGTTGGTAGTTATAATTCATTCTTTCAGAATCACTACCAGAAGTGAGTTCAGTTTGGAAATTGTCTTGAAACTGTACCAGTTTGGTTCGGTAAATGACAATCGGAGCACCAAAAGTCCATCAAATGTCGATTGCCTATACTATTTTCGCATTACCATTACCTATTTTTTGAGCACAATATAACTTCCACGCTAATTACCCTGATAACGCTAGGGACACTTGAAAGCTCAACTAAATTGTCCGCCAAATTAGGGGGATGTCCTATGCACTGCGTGACTTTATTCGCGGCGTGAATGGCAGCTTTCTTGCTAGCCACTTGGTCAAGGTCGAGCGATGGCGTGAGCACTTCAAACACCTTCCCGATTTCGAGGAGCAGATCATCATGCCCTCAATCTTCTCTTCGGTCTAGATACGCTGCCGTAGATCGTCATGCTTGGAGAGGTATAATAAGTGACACTATCGAAGCCGGTTATATCAGGCATGCTCACAGTCGTACCACATAATTATTTCTCAGTAAAATTCATCTATGAAATTCTTTGCCGCGTCAAATTCAGCATCTATGCCTTATTCTTCCATATGTCGATTCGCGATGGACTGTTTACGATCGTGGCGGTTTCTTTTGTTTTTTTTT